CCTGCTCCCCCCGACTTAGGTGAAGGGATGACTTGAACCAGTGGTCTCCCCCATCCCAGGTGAGTACCCTAACCACTGGGATAAAGGTTGTAAGAGGACCTCTTCCTCCGGCTGTTTTGTGTGGAGTCAGGTGGCCTCTGAGCATGCCTACCTGATCAGGCCCTGCATTCGAGTTGGGCGGAGGAGCACCTATCTCCCCCGAGTTGTAGATTGCCAGCAAAGACAGCTGCTTCCCTGCAGCTCAGACTTAGGTGCTTATCTCCTTGAGAGAGGCGGGGTGTAGCACACACCTTTCTCATTGCCATCTCTCACAGGCTAACTTTGGTAGCTCCCTGCCTAGCATGCTGGCTTTTGTGGATCTTATACTAAAGTGTCTATCTCTGCCCATTCATTGTATGGGGAGCTCAGGTGCCTAACTCAGGCTTTGTGGACCACAGTGTTGTTCTTATGATTTTGGAGGAGCCTAAAACTTCAGCATTGTGACACTGCACATCACAATGCCTAAGTTGCTTTGTGCATCTGGGCCTAAGTCACTTCTGAAAATTAAATTTAGGCTCCTAAGTTATTTAGGCACTTTGAAAATTTTACCCAGGGAGAGCAAGTTAGTAGCTTAAGGTCACAAAGGAAGGTTTTGCCAGAGCCATGAATATAAGACAGGTCTCATGATGTCCAGTCCTGTTTTTAAACAAGATCATTCTTCCTCCCCATTCCTATTCAACAGAGCTGTTGTTATGTTTGAAGAGAAACAGAAAAGTGATCATCAAGTTTATTCACTTATCGGGTTAAGCTATCTAGAACATTAAGCTATCTAGAACATTAAATACAGTAAGTATAATAGAGAAAGGATGATAAACTAGATAAATGAACAGCATTGACGATGATAATAATGAGGTTTTTGAAGTAATGTTTGTTCTTTCACTTATTTTGTTCAGTATCTGCAAACTATGCTAAAATAATTACTTAAATAAGCCAAAGCACTAGAAAACATGTTGGAGGAAAAGAAAACCTGCTCTGGCAGGGGAAAGGAATCGACTAGATCAGGGATTGGCAACTGATGGTACGCGAGCCAATTTTTAATGGCACGCTGCTGTCTGCTGGGGACACCCAGCCCGCTCAACCCACTCAACCCACCGACCTCAACCCCGCTCAACCCACTTCCGGTCTGGGATTCTGGCTGCTGGCCCCTTGCCAGCCGGGGTTCCGGCCGCAGGCCCTGCTCAGCCCACTGCTGGCCTAGGTGGATGGAACCCCAGGCCGGCAGCAGGCTGAGTGGGCCGGCGGTGTAAGATCAGCATTTTAATTTAATTTTAAAAGAAGCTTCTTAAACATTTTGAAAACCTTGTTTACATATGACAATAGTTTAGTTATATACTATAGAGACTTATAGAGAGAGACCTTCTAAAAAATGTTAAAATGTACTATTGGCACACGAAACCTTAAATTAAAGTGAATAAATGAAGACTCAGCACACCACTTCTAAAAGATTGCTGACCCCTGGACTAGATGATCACCTAATAGGTCTCACCTTCAGTGTTAATGATTCCATGATTTTTAATTAAACAAATTATGGAGTACTCACCACTTGCTCAGAAAACTCAGCTCTTTTCACCAATTGTGAAGTATCTGTATCCAACGCTGCCTCCAGTGTCTGCATAAGGTCTTCTAATGCCCCAGACTTGGCCTGTACAAGAATCTTTTTAAAAAGGAAAAAATAGAAAATCATACACACCACCAAAAAGCATGCTTTAAATGTGTTAAAAGGAGGACATTGGCAAGGATGACAGGACTAAATACAAGCTAACTGTAAAGGTTTAAATTTTTAAATGCTCTATTGATCCTCTACCAATCATGAGGGGAGGACTTAACCAGAAGAGCCTCTACAGTGTAACAACTGGGCCTTGGAAGGTGAACTATGTCATGGAGACAGTGGGCTTCACAGACAGCTATGTTTGTTGCTCTGGGGGAAACTGGTTTTGATTTTACTGACTTATTAACTTCTGAAAATCACATACAAAGGATTTTCCTCATTAAGCTGGTAAAATGTGCAGCTAACGAAAGATTCACTGCATGTACATGTGCACAGAGCCGAGGCAGGGCTTGGGTGGAACTGGGCAGGGCTAGCTATAAAGTTTACTTAAGAGTTTTTGCCTGTCTAAATCGTGGTGTTTTAAAAGGGCAGTTTTAGAGGGGAGAAAACAGCATTATTAAAGTAACTTGCCCAAGGGCCCAGAGTAAAAGCAATAGCTGAAAGAGGATTGGGTCCCAGCTGTATCCTCACCAAACTAGGTCATGCAGCCCCTCTCTCTGTTACTACAAATATTCAATAAAAACGAACTATTTTTGTTAACAATCCAGAATGTGACTTATTTTTAAAAGTGACCATGACAGAAACAGCGGAGTCCATTTTTGGAGCAGCCCATTGCATCATTAAAATACTTACAAGGTACTAAAAACCAGATTCTTCTCCACTGCCTTGCACCTTGTGTAGTCATTCACACTTGAACAATGCAAGGGCAAAGTAAGTAAAACAGTGTTGTCTTTCTTTTAGCCTATATCTACACTACGAAATTAGGTCGAATTTATAGAAGTCGGTTTTGTAGAAAGCGTTTTTATACAGTTGATTGTGTGTGTCCCCACACAAATGGTCTTAGTGCATTTATCCAGCATTTAGTCGGTGGAGTGCATCCACAGTACTGAGGCAACTGTCGACTCCCGGAGCGTTGCACTGTGGGTAGCTATCCCACAGTTCCCCCAGTCTCTGCTGCCCAGTTAAATTCTGGGTAGAAATCCCAATGCCTGATGGGGCAAAAACATTGTCGTGGGTGGTTCTGGGTACATATCGTCAGGCCCCCCCTTACCTCCCTCCCTCCGTGAAAGCAACGGCAGACAATTGTTTCACGCCTTTTTTCCTGGGTTACCCGAGCAGACGCCATACCAAGCATGGAGCCCGCTCAGTTCACCATCACCATATGTCTCCTGGGTGTTGGCAGACGTGGTACTGCATTGCTACACAGCAGCAGTTTATTGCCTTTTGGCAGCAGACAGTGCAGTATGACTGGTAGTCATCACTGATGTACTCCAGGGTGCTCTTTTAACCAACCTTGGTGAGGTCAGGGGCGCCTGGGCAAACATTGGAGTGACTCAGCCAGGTCATTACCCTTTTAAGTTTTGTCTCATGGTGATTCAGTCCTGCTGGTAGTCCTACTGCACTGTCTTTTAATGAACAGCCAGGAGCTGACGATGGCCAGCAGTCATACTGCATCATCTTCTGCCAGCAAGATGTATAAAGATAGATGAAGTGGATCAAAACAAGAAATAGACCAGATTTGATTTGTATTCATTTTCTCCTCCCTCCCCCAGTGAAATCAACGGCCTGCTAAACTCAGGGTTTTGAGCTCTATCCTTGAGGGGGCCATTCTGTTTCTCCTTGATACAAAGCCACCCCCTTTGTTGATTTTAATTCCCTGTAAGCCAACGCTGAAAGCCATGTTGTCAGTCGCTCCTCCCTCCATCAAAGCAACGGCAGACAATCGTTTCGCGCCTTTTTTCAGCGCAGACGCCATAGCACTGGGAACATGGAGCCCACTCAGATCACCGTGGCAATTATGAGCACTATAAACACCGCGTGCATTATCCAGCAGGATATGCAGGACTATAACCTGCAAGAAAAGCAAAACCAGGCAAGGAGGAGGTGACTGCAGTGTGGTGACGAGAGTGATGACGACATGCACACAGACTTCTCACAAAGTACAGGCCCCTGCAATGTGCACATCATGGTATCAATTGGGCAGGTTCATGGCGTGGAACGCGATTCTGGGCCCAGAAACAAGCACAGAGTGGTGGGACCGCATAGTGTTGCGGGTCTGGGACAATTCCTAGTGGCTGCGAAACTTTCGCATGCATAAGGGCACTTTCATGGAACTTTGTGACTTGCTTTCCCCTGCCCTGAAGTGCAAGAATACCAAGATTAGAGCAGCCCTCACAGTTGAGAAGCGAGTGGCGATAGCCCTGTGGAAGTTTGCAACGCCAGACAGCTACCACTCAGTTGGGAATCAATTTGGAGTGGGCAAATCTACTGTGGGGGCTGCTGTGATCCAAACAGCCAATGCTATCCCTCAGCTGCTGATATCAAGGGTAGTGACTCTGGGAAACGTGCAGGTCATAGTGGACGACTTTGCTACAATGGGATTCCCTAACTGTGGTGGGGCCATAGACAGAACCCATATCCCTATCTTTGCACCGGAGCACCAAGGCAGAGAGTACATAAACCGCAAGGGGTACTTTTCAATGGTGCTGCAAGCACTGGTGGATCACAAGGGACGTTTCACCAACATCAACGTGGGATGGCCGGGAAAGGTACAGGACGCTCGCATCCTCACGAACTCTGGTCTGTTTCAAAAGCCGCAACAAGGGACTTACTTTCCAGACCAGAAAATTACTGTTAGGGATGTTGAAATGCCTATAGTTATCCTTGGGGACCCAGCCTACCCCTTGCTCCCATGGCTCATGAAGCTGTACACAGGCAGCCTGGACAGTAGCCAGGAGCTGTTCAACTGTAGGCTGAGCAAGTGCAGAATGGTGGTAGAATGCGCATTTGAGCGTTTAAAAGCATGCTGGCACAGTTTACTGACTCGGTTAGACCTCAGCGAAACCAGTATTCCCACTGTTATCACTGCTTGCTGTACGCTCCACAATATCTGTGAGAGTAAGGGGGAGATATTTATGGCGGGGCGGGAGGTTGAGGCAAATCGCCTGGCCACTGATTACGCGCAGCCAGACACCAGGGTGGTTAGAAGAGCACAGGAGGGCGCAGTGCGCATCAGAGAAGCTTTGAAAACCAGTTTCAGGAATGGCCAGGCTACGGTGTGAAAGTTCTGTTTGTTTCTCCTTGATGAAACCCCCCGCCCCTTGGTTCACTTTACTTTCTGGTAAGCTTCGCACCCTCCCCTCCCCTCCCCCCCTTTGATCACCGCTTGCAGAGGCAATAAAGTCATTGTTGCTTCACATTCATGCATTCTTTATTTATTCATCACACAAATAGGGGGATAACTGCCAAGGTAGCCCAGGTGGGGTGGTGGAGGAGGGAAGGACAAGGCCACACAGCACTTTAAAACTTTAAACCTTATTGAATGCCAGCCTCCTGTTGCTTGGCCAATCCTCTGGGACGGAGTGGCTGGGTGGACAGAGGCCCCCCCCACCGCGTTCTTGGGCGTCTGGGTGAGGAGGCTATGGAACTTAGGGTGGAGGGCGGTTACACAGGGGCGGTAGCAGCGGTCTGTTCTCCTGGTGCCTTTCCTGCAGCTCAACCATACGCTAGAGCATATGAGTTTGATTCTCCAACAGCCTGAGCATTGACTCCTGCCTTCTTTCAGCAAGCTGACGCCACCTACCATCTTCAGCCCGCCACCTCTCCTCGTGGTCATATTGTGTTTTCCTGCACTCTGAGATTGTCTGCCTCCATGTATTTTACTGTGCTCTGTCAGTGTGGGAGGACAGCATGAGGTCAGAGAACATTTCATCACAAGGGCGTTTTTTTTGCCTTCTAATCTTCGCTAGCTTCTGGGAAGGAGAAACATATCCAGCTGATGGAGAAAAAAAAAAGGGAGAGTGGTAGTTAAAAAGACATATTTTATAGAACAATGGGTACACTCTTTCATGGTAAACCTTGCTGTTAACATTACATAGCACATGTGCTTTCATTACAAGGTTGCATTTTGCCTCTTATTGAGGTATGCCGGTTTGGTGTGAGAGATCACTCACGCAGGGCCGGGCAGCAGAATTCAGCTTGGAGGCAGCCACGGTAAGCCACAGTCTTTTGGCTTCTTTAACCTTCATAACATGTGGGAATGGCTTAAAACAGCAGCACCCTCATTTCCCATAGCAAACAGCCATTGGGTTGCCCATTAAAAATGGGTTGGCCATTTAAAAGGAGGGGCTGCGGTTTCCGGGTTCACATGCAGCAGAAATCCAACTAACCCCCCTCTCTGGACACACACCCACACACCCACCCACTTTTCTGGGATGATGACTTCACCCCTCCCCCACCGCACGGCTAACAGCGGGGAAGATTTCTGTGCAGCCACAGGCAAACAGCCCAGCAGGAATGGGCACCTTTGAATGTCCGCTTTCTAAAACCACCCTATTTCAACCAGGTGACCATTAATGATATCATTCTCCTGAGGGTAACATAGAGAGATAAAGAACAGATGTTGTTTGAATGCCAGCAAACACCGGGACCAAATGCTGCAATGCTTTGTTCTGCAATGATTCCCGACTACATGCTACTGGCCTGGCGTGGTAAAGTGTCTTACCGTGGAGGACGGAATAAGGCTGCCCTCCCCAGAAACCTTCTACAAAGGCTTTGGGAGTACATCCAGGAGAGCTTTATGGAGATGTCCCTTGAGGATTTCTGCCCTGTCCCCAGACACGTTAACAGACTTTTGCAGTAGCCGTACTGGCCTCGAATGCCAGGGCAAATTAATCATTAAACACACTTGTTTTTAAACGATGTATAATATTTACAAAGGTACACTCACCAGAGGTCCTTCTCCGCCTTCAGGGTCTTGGAGCCTGCCTTGTGTGGGTTCGGGGGGTACTGGCTCCAGGTTCAGGGTGAAAAACAGATCCTGGCTGTTGGGGAAACCGGTTTCTCCGCTTCCTTGTTGTAAGCTATTATCTTCCTCGCTCTCAAAACCCGCTTCCGTGTTGCCTGCCACTCCTTGGATGGAGTCAAAGTACAGGGTTGGGGTAGTGGCGGCTGCACCCCCTAGAATGGTATGCAGCTCATCATAGAAGAGGCATGTCTTGGGCTCTGAACCAGAGCGGCTGTTTGCCTCTCTGGTTTTTTGATAGGCTTGCCTGAGCTCCTTAATTTTCACGTGGCACTGCTGTGGGTCCCTGTTATAACCTCTGTCCTTCATGCCCTTGGAGATTTTTTTTTCAAATATTTTGGCATTTCGTCTTTTCGGAGTTCTGCCAGCATGGATTTGTCTCCCCACACAGCGATCAGATCCCGTACCTCCCGTTCAGTCCATGCTGGAGCTTTTCGGCAATTCTGGGACTGCATGGTCTCCTGTGATGATGAACTCTGCATGGTGACCTGTGCAGGTGAGCTCACCTCACTGGCCAAACAGGAAATGAAATTCAAAAGTTCGCAGGCCTTTTCCTGTCTACCTGGCCAGTGCATCTGAGTTGAGAGCGCTGTCCAGAGCAGTCACAACTGAGCACTCTGGGATAGCTCCCGGAGGCCAATACCGTCAAATTGCGTCCACAGTACCCCAAATTTGACCTGGCACGGCCGATTTCAGCGCTAATCCCCTCGTCGGGGGGTGAAGTAAAGAAATCGATTTTAAGAGCCCTTTAAGTCAAAAAAAGGGCTTTGTCATGTGGACGGGTGCAGGGTTAAATCAAGATAACGCTGCTAAATTCGACCTAAACTCGTAGTGTAGACCAGGCCTTAGACCTTGTCTATGCTACAGGTTACTTTGGTATAATTTGTCTCACTAAAGAGTGTGAATAATCCACACCCCTGAGCAATGTAAGTTCTACTGACCTAAACGCTGGTGCAGACAGCTTCTTCCACTGACATAGCTACCACTGCTCTCAGAGGCAGGAGTTATTAAGCTCTCTCCTGTCAGCTTAGAGACTCCACACCGCAAGCACTATAGTGCCTAGCACAATGGAGTCCTGATCCATAACTAGGGCTCCTATAGGCTACAGTATTACAAATAATAAACAAATAAATAATAAGCACCAAATCAGAGGGGTGGCATTTTACATCCAGACTGCGCTCATTTCGCAGATGTGTGATTTATCTGCAATCCCAAAATCACCAATGTTTTTTACATTCCTAAATACACATGCTCGATTCCTCTGAGCTCTTTCAGCTAAAGGTACTAAAAGTGCTATCATACATAGACATCAATAGGTATTACATAGTCCTGCCTTGAGTGCAGGGGACTGGACTAGATGACCTCTCAAGGGCCCTTCCAGTCCTACACCTCTATGATTACACAAGATGCAAGAGACAGTAGAAACTCAGGGTCTAAATGTATACGTAACTCCTTTAGTATATTTCGCTGCATAAGCCTATGTGAACATGCAAAGTAAGCACACTTACATTAAGATTACTGCATAGTCTGCCCTCTGTGTTCATGATCTGAGAATAAAAGGACCGGGCTTTTACCGCATCATTCTAGAAGGAAGGAAGAAAGAAAAAAAACCACACCCCCCCCGAACAAATATCAAGTTATGCTTGTACAAAACCTAATTTTATTACAAAAACTTAAAAACAGCTAGCTTGTACAGCCTCCCAATTAAATATCCACACACCCCCACCCATGCTCTTTCAAAATATTCCAAAAGACCCACTCATTCTATGTAGTGTTCACTCTGTAAGAAACACACCCTGCTCAGTGTTTCTTTCATCATGAAGCTCTCTATGGTAGCATCTTGAGCCTTTAGAATTTAAGGCCCTAGTTCAGCAAGGTACTGAAGGGTGTGTAGCTTGGAGACAATAGGACTTTCACCTCCTTAAATACCTTGCCGAACTGCTGGAAAGGGGAGCTCTTAACTGTTCAGTGCTTTAACATTGTGGACATAGCCAGGCACATTTACTATGCTATATAAATCAGCTAATTTGTCATACAATACAATGTTACAGTACTATTATTATATGGCAGCACTGATGTGTGATCAAATCACTATATACGCTTCTTAAGCACATAATGCAACATGATGTCATAGTCCCCATATCTTCAGGAATATGGAGGTATGTCCAAGAGTGCTGTTCCATTTGCAAAACAGGAATTTAAAATATTTTAGTGAGCAAAATAAAGACATTATGAATACAAAAGAATGAGACTCCATACTTGTACGTGGAATGAGATTTTGGTTTTAACCTAAAGGCCATGGAAAGAAGTCCACATCACGAGAAGCACCACCACAACAGATACTAATAAAAGTACCCCTGTTGATATTATCATTCCGTCTCTATGCTCATAGAGATGCACCACAGGGGCCAAGGATTAAATGAGCATGGAGACTGAATATTTAAATACCACTTTACACAGTCAAATCACTATACACACACATCAACTAATTCGTCCTTAGAACACTCTGGTGAGATAGAAAGTATAATTCCCATTTTACACATGGGGAAAGTGACACAAAGAGGGTTAATGAATTGCTCAAGATTGCATAACAATCCACTGTGAGAACTGGGATTAGAACTCAGAATTTTCTAATTCCTCGATCCTCCAGACTATGCTGCCTCAGACACCTAAAGGTGGTCCCTTCTATGTCAGGTTTGGAGCATGCTGTCAGGGCAGCATAGAGATATCGGCACTGCCTCTGTAGGTGCTGTTCCTATTTTGTGGTATTCTGTTTCAGTTTCGAAAGCTGTTAGTAGACAACTAATTTACAGCAGTCTTTGTATTTATGTTACTATTTCTGTGGGTATTTAGTTATTACCAAAGGGCTTTGCTAATTTTTTCATTGATTCACAGATGAAAAGGGACCATTGCGATCATCTAGACCTGTCATGTAACAAGGGCTATAGAACTTCCCCAAAGTATTTCCTAGAGCATAACTGAACTTACAGTTCTCTCTGTCTCACACACACACCCCAATAGCAAGGAAGTCATGAGTTAAGCCACCAATAACACCCTCCCCAACGTCTTCAGGGCAGGGTCCACGTTTATGTCTTTGGCCTCTGAGCACTACTTTTGTTAACAGCCATCTCAATTCATACTATGTTGGGATTTTGCATTAACAGGGTTTGATAAGTTTATGGAAGGGATGATATGATGGGATAGCCTAATTTTGGCAATTAATTGATCTTCAACTATTGGCAATACATATGCCCAATGGCCTGTGATAGGATGTTAGATGGGGTGGGATCTGAGTTACTACAGAGAATTCTTTCCTGGGTGTCTGGCTGGTGAGTCTTGCCCACATGCTCAGGGTGTAGCTGATCGCCATATTTGGGGTCGGGAAGGAATTTTCCTCCAGGGCAGATTGGAAGAGGCCCTGGGCGGGGGTTGCCTTCCTTTGCAGCGTGGGGCATGGGTCATTTGTTGGAGGATTCTCTGCACCTCAAAGTCTTTAAACCACGATCTGAGGAGTTCAGTAGCTCAGATAGGTTAGAGGTTTGTTACAGGAGTGGGTGGGTGAGATTCTGTGGCCTGCATTATGCAGGAGGTCAAACTAGACGATCATAATGGTCCCTTCTGACCTTAAAGTCTATGATTCTATGAAATAACTGTGCACTGGACTGAATATGTATTCTAGGATTTCAAAATTTCCACACATTTTAAAGGGCAGTTACATTATTCTCTTTTTTCAGAGGCCTAATCACAATGAAAGACAGACACACCTCCTTCTTTTTCCTTTTCCTTCTGCTTGCTACCATATTGCACAGAAAGTCAACAGAATCAAAGACTAAATAAAAATAAAACCCCAGTACCTGTTTCAGAGCAAACGCTACAGCAAAGCAGTATGCTCGTCTTGACATGTTATCTCCTTTTAACTGAGCCTCTTCAAATAACTTTGTGCAGATTTTGCAAGACTCTGGGCTGTTCTGTGTAGACATTTAAATCCACATTGTAATTGTCCATTTAGAGAAGCAGCAAATGCTTCACATGATTTCAGAATTTTATTAGCTAGATTGCATATAAAAATTTATGCGTCATAAGACTAACAAGACAAACATCTTTTCAAATGGTCATCACACCTGAACCAAACTACACCACACTACAGGGCAGATTCTGTGCTGCGCTTCCTGAGAAGGTCAGCACCAAAGGTATAATCAAGGGGAGGCACGATCGTGGGAGCAAAGCTGACTTTAAACCACCTTTGCATTGCCCTGATTGTGGGCTGCTCAGAGGGCTAAAACGGCCCCATGAACCATTGTGCTTAGCGCTATGGACACTGCCCCTCCCACCGCCAGCATGCCTCCTAAGCAAATGGACTTTTCATCATTACATTGCTTTGTGAGCTGCACTGGATCTCAAAGGAAACCAACATGCCTTCTAGATATCATTAATCTAAAAGAAGTCTGTACCCAGGCACTTGAGAATTCATTGTTTCCATAAGAATTATTACAGAATACATTTTGAAAGATTGTTCTATAGGAGGAATTCTAATATTGCTTAGATTTTTGCTAGTTCTTCAGTATGGATAACTTGCATTATTTCTTGGAAATAAATAATCACATAGATGTTCCACTAATGCCTTAAACATACACTCTGTTAGGGCCAGCTGCTACAAAGACTTACACACACACACTTAACTTTATGCACACAAGTAGTCCCACTGAAGTGAGCAGGATCAGGGCCTTTCTGTGCGGATCGATGTGCCAAAGGAACTCATTGATATTACATCACTATTTTCAATGGGATCATATAATTTGTTTGTCCATGTATTTTCTGCTTAGTTAATCACCTTCAATTGTTTTTTCTAATATTTGTTCCTGCTTTCTGTTGCCACGGCTTCAAGAGTTACACCTGCGATGTAGCCGCTGACTGTTTTATGATTTGGGTCTTTCAGTGTTTAAGGCTGTTATTTTATTATAGTGATGGATAGTCTTCACTACTGTTAATGATCCTTCATTTGTTATTTTATTTAAAGTATGTTTTTGGAGACTTATTCCAATGATTAGCAGACAGACTTATTATCTAAAGATTTTGTTCTCTGTAAGAGAGGTACTGCCCTTCATGGCAGCAACAGAAAAGACTACCTGTTGAAATCAGATGATAGCCATCCCTTACAATAATTTGAAATATTCAGTTTTCTAACCTTAAAAACACTTCTGTGCAAAGAGTAAACAACAATTCCTTTTTTTTATCCATGAGCAATAATCCCATCTTTAAATCCTATTTATCTATCTATCTATATATCTATCTCTGAGCAGGTTCCTGGTATTGCTATTCAAAATAAATCTATACAGCTATAATTACGCATTACTATTACTTATAGTAGCATCATAATTTTACATCCTAAGGCTGTCAACTTTAGAGAGTTTCTCCTTGTAAGAGTGTGCTTATCGCTTTCCTGAAGCTTCCTATATTGCAATATTAACAGTAGTACTTTGCACTTCTATAGAGCTTCTGGAATATGCTTTCCCCAAACCATCATTTTAGCATGTACCACTTTAAGAGACGGATGGCAGAATCAATGAAAGACTAAAATTTCAAATAATCTCCTTTCAATCATCTTTAGCGCATAAAGGGCTACCCTGGCATATCCCCTTATCAAAGGCACCTTGTCTTTAATTAAATGGCAAAAGTATTATTGCTGTTAAATTTTAACTGGGTGATAGTTGGCGCCCCATCATCTCAGGCATTGGCACCCTGACAGCAGGATTGTCTGGCTATGTAGACTCCCCCCTCAGGCCCTACGCTACCAGCACTCCCAGCTACCTTCGAAACACCACTGACTTCCTGAGGAAACTACAATCCATCGGTGATCTTCCTGATAACACCATCCTGGCCACTATGGATGTAGAAGCCCTCTACACCAACATTCCACACAAAGATGGACTACAAGCCGTCAAGAACACTATCCCCGATAATGTCACGGCTAAATTGGTGGCTGAACTTTGTGACTTTGTCCTTACCCGTAACTATTTTACATTTGGCGACAATGTATACCTTCAAATCAGCGGCACTGCTATGGGTACCCGCATGGCCCCACAGTATGCCAACATTTTTATGGCTGACTTAGAACAACGCTTCCTCAGCTCTCGTCCCCTAACGCCCCTACTCTACTTGCGCTATATTGATGACATCTTCATCATCTGGACCCATGGAAAAGAAGCCCTTGAGGAATTCCACCATGATTTCAACAATTTCCATCCCACCATCAACCTCAGCCTGGTCCAGTCCACACAAGAGATCCACTTCCTGGACACTACAGTGCTAATAAACAATGGTCACAAAAACACCACCCTATACCGGAAACCTACTGACCGCTATTCCTACCTACATGCCTCTAGCTTTCACCCTGACCACACCACACGATCCATTGTCTACTGCCAAGCTCTGCGATACAACCGCATTTGCTCCAACCCCTCAGACAGAGACAAACACCTACAAGATCTCTATCAAGCATTCTTACAACTACAATACCCACCTGCGGAAGTGAAGAAACAGATTGATAGAGCCAGAAGAGTTCCCAGAAGTCACCTACTACAGGACAAGCCTAACAAAGAAAATAACAGAACGCCACTAGCCGTCACCTTCAGCCCCCAACTAAAACCCCTCCAACGCATTATTAAGGATCTACAACCTATCCTGAAGGACGACCCAACACTCTCACAAATCTTGGGAGACAGGCCAGTCCTTGCTTACACACATCCCCCCAACCTGAAGTGAATATTCACCAGTAACCACATACCACACAACAGAACCACTAACCCAGGAACCTATCCTTGCAACAAAGCCCGTTGCCTACTGTGTCCACATATCTATTCAGGGGACACCATCACAGGGCCTAATAACATCAGCCACACTATCAGAGGCTCGTTCACCTGCACATCTACCAATGTGATATATGCCATCATGTGCCAGCAATGCCCCTCTGCCATGTACATTGGTCAAACTGGACAGTCTCTACGTAAAAGAATAAATGGACACAAATCAGATGTCAAGAATTACAACATTCATAAACCAGTCGGAGAACACTTCAATCTCTCTGGTCACGCGATTACAGACATGAAAGTTGCGATATTACAACAGAAAAACTTCAATACCAGACTCCAGCGAGAGACTGTTGAATTGGAATTCATTTGCAAATTGGATACAATTAACTTAGGCTTGAATAGAGACTGGGAGTGGCTAAGTCATTATGCAAGGTAACCTATTTCCCCTTGTTTTTTCCTACCGCCCCCCCCCCTTCCTCAGACGTTCTTGTTAAACCCTGGATTTGTGCTGGAAATGGCCCACCTTGATTATCATACACATTGTAAGGAGAGTGATCACTTTAGATAAGCTATTACCAGCAGGAGAGTGGGGTGGGGGGACAGAAAACCTTTTGTAGTGGTAAACACCCATTTTTTCATGGTTTATATGTATAAGAACATCTTCTGTATTTTCCACAGTATGCATCCGATGAAGTGAGCTGTAGCTCACGAAAGCTTATGCTCAAATAAATTGGTTAGTCTCTAAGGTGCCACAAGTACTCCTTTTCTTTTTACTCCTCAGTTCATCCTCCTTTAGCTATGTTCAATAAGTGAGGATGGGCCAGGTTCTTCTAAAAGCATGGCTAGGGCCAAAAGCAGTAGAAATCAAGCATCTCCACTGAACCTTTGCAGGATGCTACACTCTTGTGTGTGCAATGAAACCAAATTCTTCAGCAGCTCTCTGCAGCAGACTATACAAGGAGATTCATTAGAATTTTAGGGGTATGAACAGCAGGATCCTCTAGCCCAAAATTACGTATGTTGACTTGTTGCGGGGGGGGTGGGTGGGAGGGGTGTAGAAGCAGTGGACTGTATGTGTTGCTGGTACTCCTCAAAACCTATTGCATGCCAGCTACTGCAGGTAGGGGCTAAGGATGCCTTAGAGATGTTGGACTAGTATAAGTTAAGATCAAAACCCTTTAATGGGGGGTTGCTCCTTGGTCCATGATCTGGCCCTATATAATTACTAACTTATTACAGTAGATACCTAGTAGCAACCTCTATAATTTAGATTACAAAACAGTTTGATTATATCCCAAGTTTTTAGATGCTCATAACTTCCCAAATATTAACTTTCTACATTTAAATTATTAGGTCTGGGCTTCAAATCTGCCTGTAGGCAAAGGTCCCCACCTTTTTTTACACAGTGGACAATCTCCTCTCCCATTCTTGAGCACTTTCCACCTCCCATCCTATAGGCCATCAAATATCATCACCATGTGACCAGCCAGCTCTCCATGGACCACCTGAAGGTGCTCCTCAGGCCACTGGAGATCACAGTTTGAGAACGCTTGACTGTAAAACTCACTACCATGATAGTGTTTTAGGTCAACTCTTTTTCTTGAGTGCAATTAAAAAAATATCTCCTACATTTAGCTGAAAAATTCTGGGCAACGAAGTTTACTGTGGAGTCATTATTCCGGAGCCAGTGGCTGTATTACCAAAAAGCATGGTGGAAAACTAAGTATGGATTTCTGACAGAGCTATAACTAAAGGAGGACAATCTTTTCTAGGGTGGCACACATAGCAGAAAAAATATTGTGTTAATATCCTTAACATTTCATTTTTGCAGAACTGGGTTCAAATTTAGAGAGAAACAGAGAACATCAGTGACGCCAATTTGGGTGCCTCAGTCTAGTCCATAGATAATGTTTGCCTATAATGTAAAATGAGTGAATGATTTGAGCATACACTGACATTTCTGCAAGGAGCAGATATTCCAGGAAATAACAAGTGCTGAATGCCAAGTTTGGAGTGTGTTATAGTAGCAGAACTGCCATTGAATGAGGCAGGAGTCCTGTGGAAAAAATAGTATGTAATCATGCTCAAATAAATTGGTTAGTCTCTAAGGTGCCACAAGTACTCCTTTTCTTTTTGCGAATACAGACTAACACGGCTGTTCCTCTGAAACCTATAATAATAGACTGAATCATAATACATGTGCACAAGGGAGATGAATTACGGTTGCATAAGAAATCTTAATTCTGGCACTTCCTAACTTATGAGTGCTCAACTTTGCAAACTTAACATTTTTTTTGTGGTGTGTGCAATATATATTGTACACTTGACAAAGAAGCCATCTATGATTGACTTACGTATCCAACTGAAGTGTTTGCAGCAGATGAGAAACAATGGCAGGGTATCAAATAGAAATTTTAAAGGTAAATCTAATTAAAATAAAATACCAAAACACTTCTTCAGGGAAATAATGAAACCTTTTACCAGTTTGTAGCATATTGCAAATGCAAGTAAATAGGTGTCTTTGATGAATTTTACATGTTGTTTTCTCATTTCTCCCAGCACTTCCAAGGCACCTGCCAAAAAACAGATATTCATCCAGTAGTTAAGTACTTCACTAATTGGGGTTCTTATACTTAATGCATAACCCATCTACCACTGAAAACGCAAGATTACAATATGATATGAGCCCAACTAAAATGTTGCTGCAGATTAAGATCTATTAGTCTAAAAAGAGATTTTACATATAAATGATATATTTTCAGAAACCTTGCATCAGTGTTACGTGGTTTAAACTGTTGCTTTACAAGAGGGATGTGATGAATACTTGATTTGGATTCAATTTGTATCTAAATCCTGTCTTATTGTCACATCAATATTCATACAAATGTGATTCTCATATCATATGCCTGCCTATCAGCCTCTCAGATCCCAAGAGACACCATGCGGTAGCCATTTAAAAAAAATGGCCAAACTCCCTTCACCAACCCTGTACAGAATTCCCACAAGCTCCCAGCTGCTTCTCTACACCCTGGCCCTGTATCCAGTCTCTAATCTATTCATTTCCAGGGTAGCTTGCCTTCCTGACCTACTGACCCTGGCAATATTTGAAATCAGATTTGCCAAATGCCAAGACATTGTACTGTGTATACTGCAAATTCCAAAAAAAGGATTTGTCCCAACCTTCCTTTACATTATGCTTTAGATTTTCATGTTAGAAAATCCTTTTTAGGCCACATGTGACGCCTCCCAGGTCTTCATATAGGGAGAGACTGTGGTTTTAAAGACAATGGCAGTGTTGTGGGGGAGACCCTCTGACTGTATGTGTTTCAGATCAAACAAACAGAGCCTCTGAACAATTTTCTTACAAACTTTTTTTTCCACATGCTATAACACCCACAAAAATGCCTGAATAAATTTTCTTCAAACTTCCCCATCCCACAAACAGAACAAAGTGGGGGCGGGGGGAGGGGGGGAAGCATGAGAAATTTCAGTCTAAAGGACATTTTTAGAGAAGTTAAGCCCCTTGAAAACAGGATTCTAAAACAAAAGGCTCTTGCCTCAACCATAATTGTACAGTATTGTTAATGGGAGGCTAGAGCGCTGCTGCAAGTACTTAATGAGTACACATTATGGAGCCCTTTGAATGCTGTTGCAGACTGCTGTGCAGCTTTCAAATCCAAGAGCGATCACATATGGCTCAGCGAGCCAAAAGGAGCACACTGTTCAGTGTTCTGTATAGCTTTAAAATAGATTCATGGTTATATTTCAGAAGTGTACCTTGCTCAAAATGCATTTGCCTTGACACATTTATTTTAGTACTTACTTTCGTAATGACCTTTTTTAAACAACATATCCATCAAAATATTGAACGATGTGCTATCAGAGAAGAAACCGTGCAGAGTCTGGTGAAGAAAAATATAAACAGAGCAGGTTTTAAACAAAATTGCTATTAGGACCTGCCTTACCACATACAGCATGTCCTCCAGCTGTGAACTGCCCATGTCCCCATAAGTGATACATTTGGCTCTCAAAGCTCTCCTTGTTTCCCCCAATGGAGTAATCTTTAATTTTCCATTGAACTTTAGATCATATTGTGTCACTGATTTTTGAAGAAGAACCTCCCACTGAGTTCTACTTCAAAAAAGATTGATGGCAGGATATGCCCTTTAAGTTAATACAAACAGAACTGATTGGGTACAGGCTACTTTGAAAGCTTAAAAGTTATAAATCCAGGTTTGTGCTTTCTTGTAGCTGAACACTGATTAATGATGTCTTTGAGGGGAAAAAATGCCAGCACCATCAAACTGAAGGAGGGTTTTTTTGCTGAACACAGAACAAAAGTGGTGAGCTGACCAGGACTAGGGCTGGAATTACCAAGAGCAGAAAATTTAATGAGAGAGCGCCTTAGCATGAAAAATGAGCGTATCTTCCCTCACTGAAATAATACCGAACATGGAGCATTCAGGGAAATGAATGTGTGCGAGACAATACAATGCTAGAGGTATATTAAGTTTGAATTTCTATCCAAAGAGGCTGCATTAGTGACAGCGACTGCTGAATGTTACTGCGGAGGATGAAGGGGTTACATGTAAGGCTATGACTTTGGCGGGGAAATCAGTGTTTCTGATAATCATGAATCTGAATAAAGTACGCGATCTTCGCAGAAACAGCTCCTTTCCCCTCTGGAAGTTGCAACCTGGCCCACATGGTCGCAGGGCCACTCAGGTTTGGTGTGTATGCCACTCTGCAGGTGGGGACAGAGGGGCAGAGACACCAAACCTGAGTGGCATTGCGACCCGTGGACTAGATCACAATGACAATCCAATTTGGCCCTCCCCTCCTCGAACCCTCCCCTCCCTATGGAGGGACAGACGAGCCACACCTTAGTGGCGCTGTGTCCAAGTGAGCTAAGTACCAATGTCTGGAGCAGGCAGCCAGGCCCAGCCCTACACGACAGGAGATGCTGCTGCGGAGTGAGTGCAAGGCAGGCTTCCTCTCCAGCCCCCATTTTTCCTCAGGGTCTTCCCTCCTCACAGAGGTGGGCTCACTCTCCAACCCCTCCCATAGGCCCCCTGCTCTTCCCCTTTCCGTGAAATGGCCTTGTTTTCCACACACCTTTGCCATAAATTTTTTAAAAATTTCTGTGAAAAAAATTGTAGCCTTAATTACATGTAGTATTTTTTATAAATATGGCATGCCCCTCTGGTTATCTGTTCCACATTAGCCTGCTTGACTGCCAGAAGTTAAATCAAAGAGGTTGTTAAGGGAGAAACCAGCAGGAAAGGCACAGCAGTGACAAAGATAAGGTTCCTCAGAGAAACAATGGGGAACCTATGGATTGAGAATAGCCCTTGCCTCGCTCCAGATCGTCTGGCAAGGTATATTGTTCCCAAACCAAAACCTAGGCTCAAGCTGTTCCTAAAATCCAGGGTATATCTTTACAGTACAGTCAGCTTGAGTTACAACTTGAGTGTTACACTCCAATTTGACTCCCATCCACACACACAAATCTCTAGCTCGAGTTAAGTGGTGCTTTAAGCTTGAGCTAGCTGGTCCGTCAGGGTACGTCTACACTGCAGCAGGGATCATGCCTACCAGCCCAAGTAGGAGACATTCCTTAGTTTCACTCAAGCTAAATAGCAGTATGGATATTATGGCAAGTGTGGCAGCAAAGGCTAACCACCCTGAGCTCAGACCCAGGTGGTCATGGTGGGTCTGAGCTCAGGTGGTTGGCCCAGGCTGCCACCCATGCTGTAATGTCCACACTGCTATCTTTACCACCCTAATTTGAGCTGGATTCAAGATTGCTTGGATAGGCTAGCCTGTGCACTTTTACTGTGTAGACTTACCCTGAGGCTGTCACCCAGACTGACGGAGACACACACAGGGACTGCAGCAAGCAAGCTGGCTCTCTCAACCCACAGATGGGAATAAGTCAGACCTACCTGAGCTATGGATAGGGAGGCTAAGCTTATGTAAGGGAATACATTCAACTCTTTGTTGTGTTGACCCATTTGCCTAAATGCTGTGTTCCCTTTGGCAATTAAATGCTACTTTGTTTTGAAGACACTGTTTCTGAGTCACTTTAATCAGCTGATGTCACTGGTGCCTGAAGAAAAAGGGGCTTACAGGTGCCAAACTTGGTTGGGCCCGTTGGATTAACATGGTTGGGTAAACAGGTGTGCTACACCCTCAAGACTCAATCTAGGAGTGGTTGGACCACATGGTTCCACTGAGAGTGAGGTGCAGGAAGCCAGGCCTGTCACCTGAGGGGTGCACTTGAGAAAGACACAAAGGTATCTAAGATGTGGTTGGCCCAGTTACTGTGACAGCTGCCTTCCGTGATCGAATACCATTCATCAGTTCTGCAAGTACTCAGGGCCTTTCTTACATAGGCCCCAATTTGAAGAGATATTTATTCAAAGACATGCCTGAATAAGCATGTGAGCAGCCTCAGTGATTTCAAGGGATTTCTTACATGCTTAAAGCTAGGCATGTGCTCAACCATGTTATTAAATTAATGCCTAATCCAAATCCCACTGAAGTCAAAGGGAGCCTTTCCATCAACTTCAGTGGGCTTTGGAACGGGCTGATAATTACATAGCCTCCCCTCTCTACATTATAGGGCTCCAAAGTGCATCCTCCCCTGTAATAATGACCTAGGTAGCATATATATACACGATTTTATATCTTCAAAATGTTATTCAAAAACTAGTCTTTATAATTGTAAAGCATTAAGGGACTGGTTTTCAGAGGTGCTGAGCACACACAGCTCTCATAAGCTTCAAGAGTTGCTGCAAATGCTCAGCATCTCTAAATCTGTGCCTAATCTTCTATACAAAAACTCAGAATCACTGATGTCCAAAGATGATGTGACGGAGCAGGTAGTGGGGAGGACTGACCTGGGGATGTCGCAGGGGAGTTTTACTGGGACTGTCTGCATTGGGGATGGGTTAGCAGGGGTGACTTCACTTGAGGGATGATACCTGAGCTTGTAACCTGAGCAAGGAGGGGGAGTTGGGGCCAAGTGACACCTTTGCCCGGGAAACTGGACAAAGGCTGGAGGAGGAGCCAGGGAGAAGCTGGGTGAGACTGCTGGAAGGAGTTTCAGTTTGGACCGGTCTGGGGAAACGGAGGGAGCCCCAAGGCTGGGGTCTAAGCTCCCTGCCCGCCAGAGGGACCTGACTGAGGGGTCCTGTTTGTACCTACAAGCTCTGTTTGGAACTGTGTTCCTATCGTCTAATAAACCTTCTGTTTTACTGGCTGGCTGAGAGTCACAGGGAATCACAGGAAGAAGGGGGTGCAGGGCCCCGACTCCCCCACACTCCGTGACAGATGATTATATAGAACAAACAATGCATCAGTGAAATATGTTTACCAATGTTAGGTGAGTTTGGTAGATTGAAGAACTTTTATTCAAAGCATTTTATAGAAAATGTTGTAATTACTCTGAAATACAGCTAACCTCCCAATTACAACGGAAATGATAGTTTGGTTCAATGTTTTCAATTGTTGTTCCTAATGGAGAAGAGCAGAGACTGAAAAATCAGCACAGGCTAATCAGCCCACACGTGTTTGCATCTTAGAAAATAAATTCCCATTATTTCTAAAAATCTTCCACTTCAGTATAACTTTGAGCTCACAGGAGGTCAGGACATACAACATATTACTGACCAAAATTAGAATTGAAATGGAAAATAATTTAAAAATATATATAAAGGGAAGCTACCTGATCTTTGATGAGTTCTATTGCAGTTACTTCAAGGTCCAGCTCATAGCACAGCCTCATAAAAAGGGGCCCAAATTTAAACTCACCAAAGGCCACATTTCTGTTCTCTGTATGGTACCTGATCAGAAAAGATTTAAAAAACGTAAATACATTAGGAGTGGAAAATTGTGACAAATTATGACTTTCAAGAGGCAATGAAATCTGCATATGAAATGGCTTAGGCAGACTGTTCTGTCTGTATGCAGTCGATGGCATTTAGAACAACAGTAAGATCATTGCATGGAAAGAACATTATTTACTAATTGGCTGGAGCTGACACTGAAGTGAACAGTAATAATAATAATGTCATCTCTTCCGTTGCCCACAAAGTAATCTCTATCAGTTTAGCAATGGAGTGGGCCTATATATTGCTACAGCATTTATTTGTATTCGATTTTGTTGCATTATTTTTTTAGTACACATGCGACTTGTAAAATGTAAAAGCCTTAAATACTCTAGTCCTCTATTTACAAAGCAAAAGCAGTACAGGCAGTAGCAGGGCTATTTTGATGCCAACATGCTGCCACCCTTTTCTGCAGGGTAACATCTAGGCGTGAGCGGCTTTTTCACTCTCCATAGCCTTTTTTCTTTTTCCTGAGCTCAACGTTTCATCGTTGCTAGAGAGATACATTACAAATAAAACTGCCATAAATGAAAAATACAGGGAGACGGAGAAAACAATTTGCTTTGGATTTTTTTCTAAATTACCTGTAAATAACATTTTTAGCTATTTCCACATCGTCTGGTGTCTGGCACAAATGCAACAATGTTTTTAATTCACCTTTGAGGATTATTCCATTTTTCTTCAATTTTTCTTCAATATTTCTAAAATATGAATCTGAAAGTAAACAAATTGTTGCAGTAGTCTATTGGACACAGCTCCTTCAGTAAGCATACTATACCTCTGTACCAGAAGTATGACAATTTCATAGGCTACATCTACACTACAGCACCGATGAAGCTGCATTGCTTGTGGTGGAGATGCTCTAAGCTGACAGGAGAGAGCTCTCCCATTGGCTTAATAACTCCTGCTTCTGCAAGAGGCGATAGCTATGTTGGTGGGAGAAGCTCTCGCGCTGACATACCTCTGTCTACACTGGCACTTAGGTCGGTATAATCCACACCCCTGAGCGATGTAAGTTATACCGAAGTAACCGGTAGTGTAGATGAGATAATACCTCCCACAGCGAAGTACATATCTGGGGGTTTCCTTGAAAACTTGAATGTCTGAAAGAGGGGGGGACTCAGCAACTTTAAAAAGGGCTCCAAATCTGAAGCTTTTCTAGACTCTTCTGCACCATGTATTGTATGGGATATAAAAGTAAAAACCCCCAAGAGCTTTGATACTCTTCTTTCTTTCTTCCAGTCCCAGTTGTAGACTCAAACAGGCATGGGACCTATACCAATCACTAGATAACAGTATTGGTCTGGGGGATTCATATTCCTGGATAAGTGAAAGAAGCAAGGAGAAGAGATGTCTCATACTCTTCTAAAGCTAGAACAGAAATGCACAGGCTATAACCACAGGATCCGGGTAAAAAACTTAATTACTTCTCTTGGTCTCTCAAACGCTATGGTGGGTGCAGGAAATAAGAACATATAACATATGCACCATAAACTAGGAATTTGACATATTATATATCCATTATATCCCAGGGGATAATATAACTCAGCTAAGTAGACGAACAAAGTGAAGTATGACCTGAATCTCTATAAAACTTAGTTCCTACATTTAGTAACAGTGCCTGACCCACATTAATAAGTTCAATATATATCTTATTAATCTTATTCCACATCTTCTGCATACTGAAATTCCACCACTATAGCAGGGATCTTATGAGTGAAGCAAACAGTGGAAATGGAAAGGGAAGAGAGCCCTTTTAAACATAAAAAACAAACGTACTTTTAACAGTAGATCTATGCAAATCAATACTAGCAGTATTGTAATTATTAGTCCACCAAACCTTTGCTTTCCTTGTGGCAAAAGCCTGATTGACTGTGGGGCTACTAGTCCAAATTTGCGCAGCCCAAAGTAAACATCACAGGATGTAAAACCACAATTCTCTAAGGAGAATTCATCTGATAAATGCTACACAAATCAGACACAAAACAAACATTTCATGTTTTAAGAAGCAGCACTATTTTTTCAACATGAAAAGCTTTTAAGAATTGCCCTGTTGCCTAATATTTTTAAAGAATACTGTTTAAATAATGGTATATCCACACAAAGTACCAGAAAAATGAGTAAGTGTGAAGAAACTTATTAAGCTGCTTTGAAAGAAAGCAAATTTCCACAGCAGATTTGTGATTATGTTAGGCTTGGCAAGCCAGTCAACTGACTGCTCAAATAATGTCATTTGTCACCGATTTATCTGACCACAGTCAAATGTTACTAAATATTCCAGCAAGAATGGCCAGATGCAGGTGGGAGCCTACCTTTTTGACTGCATCCTGGTGCCATTCTTTCATTTTATACAACTTCATTTCATTGTGTTTTGCAATTTTCTGAGTTAAAATAACTGTTAAGTAACTTGTTTTTTGTTTCAGAGGAACAGCCGTGTTAGTCTGTATTCGCAAAAAGTGCCACAAGTACTCCTTTTCTTTTTGTTTTTTGTTATTAGTCATAACTATCTACTTACAGCGAAGCCTATTGGAGACCATAAAGTTTTACTTTTTTTAGGTTAGTGTTCTAATAAATCACTGCTTTAAAATATTTGACCAATGTATAACCCAAGGGTCTCAAACATGCAGCCCACAGAGTTATTTGATGCTGCCCACCAAGCTCCCTGCCCCCGCGGAGTTATTTCCTGTGGCCACCAAGCTCCCCTCACCCACCGCCCTCTCCCCCCGACCCCAGCGCATCGCTTCCCCGCTCCTCTACCTACCTCCAAGTGCTTCCCACCACCAAACAGCTGTTTGGCAGCACTTAGCACTTTCCAGGAGGGAGGGGGAAGGAGCGGGGAAAGCGCGCTCAGGGGAAGAGGCGGAGAAGAAGCGGGCAGGGGTGGGGATTTGGGGGAGGGGTTGGAATAGGGGCAGGGAAGGGGTGGGAAGAGGCAGGACATGGGCGGGGCCTCATGGAAGGGGTGGAGTGGGGGCAGAGCTGGGGGCTTCTGTATCTTTATATGAAAAGGTGTCAGTGGTGCGGCCCTTGGGCTAATGTACAAATCCTCATATGGCCCTTACGGTGATTTGAGTTTGAGATCCCTGGTATAACCAGTCAATTGACTGATTATTTTTAGGATTGTGAAATGGCCAACCACAGATTATGTCTCACCTGCATTGCTCTTTTCCTCCCCCAGGGCACTAATGTGACACAGTTTCATGCCATTCATCCCATGTTTAAATTATGAGTGTCTCACTCTTACCCTATTTTGCATTATGACACTATACTGCCAATTAAATTTTTTAACACTTGTTTCTATCTTTTATCTCAGGAAATAACTCTCAGCTCCCACCCTGTCCCCCCACAAAGAATGGGTCATTTAAGATTGGGTTTTATATCTTCACCTTCACAGAACATCCCCCCCGCCATCAAACCTCATTTTGTTCTTTGGAATAATTCTTGCAGGTTAGCATTAAACAGAAATAAAATCGGTGTATAATCAGACAGCTTCATGAAGATAAGTCCTGCATAACCTTTCTGAACTCCTCAGGGCAGATTTAGGTTTCATTAACTAAAGGGAGAAAGAACCACTACAGATTTTTCCTAATGGGACTCTGTCTGTTAACAATAACAATCCAAGACTTTACTTCTCATTCATTTTGGAGAGCCTGAAATCTTTCATATTTCTAATTTAAAAGTGTCACTAGAATCAGATGAGATACAAGAGTAGAGGTTGGGAGAAAGGAAATATCTGAATAGCACAAAATTGCTAATTTACAAAGTGGATTAAGACAGAATTATTGGCATAACCCTCCTCTAGATACCTAAGCATTTACTAAATTTTGTACTAAGTTTCCCTGCAGAAGAAAACAGTTATCTGTTCTAAAAAGTTCCAAAGTTGCACAGTGGTTTGGTGGCCTTGACTGGAACAAACAGAAATCTCAAGCACTAATTTTAATATTGATGATATTGCTCAGTAAAATAAAGACTTGTACCTTTATTGCCATAAATTTGATGTTCAGTTGCTACCTTCTTCAGCTGAAATTCTTGCAATCGTATAATATCATCTGTTAACAGATATCGCTTTGCTAAAAATGGGGAGGAAGGGGAAGATTCACCATCATATTAGATTTACTGTTTGACGACACTGAAGTTTTCATTTAGGAACTGCTGCTATTACTTACCATGTAATCCAGGACCACAAGAAGATTCAGGGCCTGGTTTTCAGAAGTGCTAGGCACCTGCAGCTTAGTCAATGGAAGCTGTAGGCGTTCAGTGCCTTTAAAAACCAGGCTCTTAAAGTGCATCATAGTCAAAATGTGATGGTAAACATGGTACCTTCTTTCTCAACTGAGTCTCTGAGCCATAGTTGCTTATTTTACTGACAAACATAAATATTTACTCCTACAGTTTTGCAGGGCAAATATAGACAAGGAGGAGTGAGCAGTATAATAGTTTTGCTTCCTGCATAATTAAACTGCAAAAGAATAATTAAAATTGAGATGTGTCTTTCCCCACTAACCAGTCTGTGAGAGCAGTCAGAGCAGAAAGGCGGAGAAAAGCTCCCCCATGTGTGAAATCCTCTTAGTAGTCCTTAGTAGTCCCCTTAGTGGTCCTTTCCGGCTTTCTCAGGAGATCCCAGAATGCACCACTCTATGACAGCACAAATAGCGGCAGTGAAGAGACTTTGATATTTGTGCTATCATAGAATGATAGATCTTTGAAAAGTCATGGAAGACAGGAGACATTCCAGAAGACTGGAAAAGGGAAAATATAGTGCCCATCTATAAAAAGGGAAATAAGGACAACCCGGGGAATTACAAACCAGTCATCTTAACTTCTGTATCTGAAAAGATAATGGAGCAAATAATTAAGCAATCAGTTTGCAAACATCTAGAAGATAATAAGGTGATAAAGTAACAGTCAGCATGGATATGTCCAAAACAAATAGTGTCAAACCAACTTAATAGCTTTCTTGGACAGGGTAACAAGCCTTCTGGATGGGGGAAAGTGGTAGATGTGGTATATCTTGACTTTAGTAAGGCTTTTGATACTGTCTCGCATGACCTTCTCATAGACAAACTAGGGAAATACAACCTAGATGGAGCTACTATAAGTTGGGAGCATAACTGGTTGGAAAATCATTGCCAGAGAGTAATCATCAGTGGTTCACAGTCATGCTGGAAGGGCATAATGAGCAGGGTCCCACAGGGATCAGTTCTGGGTCTGGTTCTGTTCAATATTTTCATCAATGATTTAGATAATGGCATAGAGAGTACACTTATAAAGTCTGCGAACGATACCAAGCTGGCAAGGGTTGCAATTGCTTTAAGGATAGGATTAAAATTCAAAATGATCTGGACAAACTGGAGAAACTGTCTGAATTAAACAGGATGAAATTCAATAAGGACAAATGCAAAGTACTCCACTTAGGAAGGAACAATCAGTTGCACACATACAAAATGGGAAATGACTGCCTAGGAAGGAGTACTATGGAAACGGATCTGGGGGTCATAGTGGATCACAAGCTAAATATGAGTCAACAGTGTAACGCTGTTGCAAAAAAAATCAAACATCATTCTGGGATGCATTAGCATGAGTATTGTAAACTAGACATGAGAAGTAATTCTTCTGCTCTACTCTGCGCTGATTAGGCCTCAACTGGAGTATTGTGTCCAGTTCTGGGCGACACATTTCAGGAAAGATGTGGACAAATTGGAGAAAATCCAGAGAAAAGCAACAAAAATTACTAAAGTGCTAGAAAACATGACCTATGAGGGAAGACTGAAAAAACTGGGTTTGTTTAGTTTGGAGAAGAGAAGACTGAGAGGGGACATAAAAGGTTGTTACAAGGAGGAGGGAGAAAAATTGTTCTTCTTAACCTCTGAGGATAGGACAAGAAACAATGGGCTTAAATTGCAGCAAGGGCGGTTTAGGTTGGACATTAGGAAAAACTTCCTGTCAGAGTGGTTAAACACTGGAATAAATTGCCTAGGGAGGTTGTGGAATCTCCATCATTGGGGATTTTTAAGAGCAGGTTGGACAAACACCTGTCAGGGATGGTCTAGATAATACTTAGTCCTGCTTTGAGTGCAGGGAACTGGACTAGATGACTTCTTGAGGTCACTTCCAGTTCTATGATTCTGGGATCTCTTGAGTAAGCCAGGAAGTACCAAAATAATTTCATAAAAGGGGGGGGGGGGAAACTGAAAGATGAGCATGTATTATTTTATGCATCACAATAGAACCCAAACTTCCCAATCAAGTTTGGAGCTCATTCGTGTTAGGTTCTGTTCAAGTACATAGGAAGACATGGTTCCTGCCCCAGAGAGTTTACAATCTTAAGACTTCAATGCTGAACTCAATTTTTTTTTACATCTCATCTTTTTCAGCTAATTGTCAGCTAAGTTCTGTTTGCAAAATCTCTACCATCACAGACATCTTTTAAGTAACAGAAGCTTTATGCAACAAAGCAGTTTTAACAGGGTGACTGTAATAGTTTACACTGACACAATCCACTCTTCTAGGCTGCTTATGGAATCATTCTAATCCTTTTTATGTGTTGGCTTAATCAGAAGTTAGGAGAATACAAAAAGGAAATAAGTAGCCTAACTAATAGAGCAGCTCTTATCAGTAGGAAAAAAGGATAGTTTTATTTGTACATACACACAAACCAAAAATTCTAAGGAACCAGAAAAAAATAAAGAAAATCCTAAAATTTCTATTTACATAAGAAAATAAAGACCCATCTATACATATTAAAATATACACCAATGCAAATCATCCCAACACAGTTGAAATAAATACACCTCATTTCTTTCAAGTGTGTCTTGTCTCATGGTAACCTGTTAGAACAGGTTTCAGAGTAGCAGCCGTGTTAGTCTGTGTTCGCAAAAAGAAAAGGAGGACTTGTGGCACCTTAGAGACTAACCAATTTATTTGAGCAAAAGCTTTCGTGAGCTTTTGGATGAAGTGAGCTGTAGCTCATGAAAGCTTATACTTAAATAAATTGGTTAGTTTCTAAGGTGCCACAAATACTCCTTTTCTTTTTCTTATAACAGGGTGACTAAATGACAATTCTTCTGTTCCCACTGAACTAGAATCTTGAAAATTGGTATATTCATTCCTCCTTCCACCCCCAAAACGTGCCATTTCTAACATATCTCATCAAGAGATCATCAGTTTAATAATTTACAACACTTCTTTATTTTTGAGGTGGTCTTACTAATAAGGCTATGATTTTGTCACAGATATTTTTAGTAAAAGACACGGACAGGTCACGGGCTTCCATGAATTTTTCTTTATTGCCCGTGACCTGTCCGTGACTTTTACTAAAAATATCCGTGACAAAATGGGGAGCCGCTGCAGGGGCCGGCAGGGAGCTCTGGGGGCTCCCATCACCACCCGGGAGAGCTCGGAGCTCCAGGGTCCCCCTCCCCCTGTGGCTTGGAGTTGCCGGATCTCCCCCCCACCCACGGCAGTTCAGATGCTACCAGCACCTGGAGCAGCAAGGAACTGTGGGGTATCCCCCAGCCACCTGCCGGCAGGACAGCTCCCACCACTTGCCGGTGGTCTTTGGAAGTCACTGAATCCATGACCTCTGTGACAAAACTGTAGCCTTACTTATTAAGTATCATCCTCTGATTTGGAGAAATTAAGGCAACTGAGATTTCATTTATTGGATTTTCACAAACAAAATTTCTGAAGGTAAGGAACTACACCACAGCAAGCGATATTAATATCCACAGCTGTCCAAAGCATGGAGTGCAGTCAGCTAGGAGACAATAATGTCCCAGGGCTGCATATTAAAATGTACCTCTCTGTTGCAAGGCAGAAAGAACGCATTCAGATTATCAGGTCCATGGCTGAGTCTAGCCCTCACATTTAGAAAATTCATCTTTTGACTTTAAATCGCACAAGTTTGATTTGAAAATCATGGGGAGAGAGAAAGGAAAAAAAAGTACAGAATGCCATAATACCATTTTTAGTCACTTTTTGTACTTTTTCTCTCCCATCTCTCTGCTTGCCTCCACCTGTTCTCTCTTGTTTTATACTTAGACTGTATAAGCTCTTTGGGGGCAGAGACTGTCTTTTTTGTTCTGTGTTTGGATAGTGCCTTGCACAATGGGGTCAGGGTCCCGGTCCCTGACAGGGGCTCCTAGGCATTACTGCAACACAAATAATAAATAATATTATTTCTGACTAGCAGTCAAATTTCCTCTGGATAAAAAACTCACCTAGTACAAACTCCACAGCACAAAAACTAGTCCAAATTGTTTTCTTTGCTGTGTCATTTTCTTAATTGATTTTAATGGGGAAAAAACAAGCTGTACAGGGCAACCTGATGTGTACATTGATTGCAAAGGAAAGATGCAAGTTTCTCGATAATTTGAAAATAGAGGATTATACAGGCAGATGCTAAAAACTCTGAAACCCTTACAAAATAGTCCCCATGGTACTCCAGGATTCCAGAACTCTGGAAGGTCACTTCTTGATTTCAAGTTATACTTGCTGAGTATCCAACACAGGAAGAGTCAAGAAGTCTACTTCATATATGGCACCCAGATATCATGTTGGCAGACACAGCGGAAATAGACAAATACTGAAGCCTAACCATATTATCCAGCAAAAAAGTTAAGTAAAGGGGCACTAAATACGCAGATTTTCAAAGCTACATAAATTAGCAAGGGGTTCAAAGGGTGTAAGGTAGTTTGTCATTAGGTAATTAGAAACATTTGGAGGACAATGCAGACAGAGGCCCTGGTAGTCATGACTGTGTAAAGTGTAGTGGGAAACAATAGGACTGGACCAACCACCATGAATCATACACAGTAAAGCTCTGAAAGGCCTAATTCTGGAGCTGACAGAACACTTCCTGTTTTAGATTCTTCATGTGAAACAATGTCTTTTTCCCCTTCATTCCGTTAATTACACATATACAGCTTCCACCCAGAATCAGTGATTACTACTAAGAAGTTACTAGTGTATCCTACCACTAGTTACAACTGCAGCTATAAAGCCCAGTGTAAGAACTGTGATTTCAACCCACGTACTTCTATCTTTGGGCTTGATCCTGCTAAATCCCAAATGCCCTCAAATCCCTGCCCCGAAAAGACTACAATCTGAAAGATAAAAGAAAACGAAGCAGGAGGGAACAGAATAAAAATCGTAAGTAGAGAGGTTGGTGGGGTGACTGGTACATGCATTATTAATGCTGCACTGAAAAATACAGCTACTATTTATCCCTATGGAAAACCTCCTGCAAACTGCCTCTTTACCTATCTAAAAATTCGTGTACATGTTGCAACTGAGTGGGTCTTTTAAACATTTCCATAATATTTTCTAAAAGTGAAAAGAAATGTTTATTCTATGTAAACAAACTCATTTCCTAGAAGCTGCTGAAAGACAGGAGAGGATGGCATAGTATATATCTTGACTGCAGAGTTAACTGAGGGTGATGAGCACTTGCGTTGGCCTCACCTGGGTGTGAGCGGCCACGCTGCAAAGCTATACTCAAGAGCGTCCCTGGTGCATGTATTACTGGGACTTCTGAGGGGCTCATCTCATGGCTGTTAGTGCTGAAGTAAACTGAGCTGCTTTATAGTTCTTTCCCAGTAAACTGCAGAACTTGGCTGTCTTTCTGTCCACCTGGGGCTAATTGTGAGAAAGCACTTGTCAGAAACATACAGCTAAGGGTTGCATAAAATCCCTCTTTACCTGTAAAGGGTTAAGAAGCTCAGATAACCTGTTTGGCACCTGACCAAAAGGACCAATAAGGGGAGAAGATACTTTCAAATCTGTGGGGGAAGGTTTTTGTTTTGGGCTTTTGTTGTTCTCTCCAGGACAGAGAGGAACCAAGGCAGGGAAAATACATCTCCTAAAGCCATACCTGCACTAAGCATCTAAGATTACAAATTGTAAGTAATAGGAAGGAAATGCATTAGATTAGATCTTTTGTTTTAGCTTGTGAATTTTCCCTATGCTAGGAGGAAGATTTATTCCTGTTTTTTTGTAACTTTAAAATTTTGCCTAGAGGAGAATCCTCTGTGTTTTAAATCTTATTACCCTGTAAAATTATCTTCCATCCTGATTTTACAGAGGTGTTTCTTTTACTTTTTTTTCCTTTATAATAAAAAGTTCTGTTTGGGGTTTTTAGTGTCCTAAAAATCCAAGAGTCTGGTCTGTGCTCACCTTGTTTACTCTCAAGCCTCCCCAGGAAAGTAGGTGAAGGGAGCTTGGGAGGATATTTTGGGGAAACGGGAACTCCAAGTGGTCCTTTTCCTAAATCTTTGTCTAACTCACTTGGTGGTGGCAGAAATACCGTTCCAAGGACAAGGAAGAATTTGTGCCTTGGGGAAGTTTTAACCCAAGCTGGTAGAAATAAGCTTAGGGGGTCTTTCATGAGGGTCCCCACATCTGTGCCGTAGAGTTCAGAGTGGGGAGAGAACCCTGAAAGCACCGGAGGACTATCAGCATTCAAATGCTTTAGCTTGCATCCACACTGCAAAATGGGTGGGTTACCAGCCCAAGAGCAAACATCCTTCAGGCTTTATCATATATCTCAGCTTGAGTCAAGTGAGAGGTGTATGTGTGTGGATGGGAGCAACAATAAGAGCTCAAGTTAACAACTCTGCAGCGAAAACAAGCCTTTAGTTATCTAAGACCAGGTCTACATTACAAAGTTTTCTCAGCATGTCTAGTTCGGTTGGGGGTGTGAAAAAACCCACATCCCCTAACAGGCACAATTATGCTGACAACCCCCCCACCCCAGAGACACAGCTATGCTGATATAAAAGTGCTTCTGTTGGAATAGCTAACACAGTTCAAGAAGCTGCTGTTACTATGCCGATAGACAAATTAACTCGTGTAAGCTGTATCTACACCAACATAGCTATATCAGCAAAGCACTGATAGTGTAGACAAAGCTTCAGTATCAGGTTTGGAATATCTAGACTCTCTGGAAGTATATCCCAGCAAGGCAGACATCCCTTCAACCTTCTAAAGCAGATAAGCTGGGTATCATACAGGGCAGACATTCAGTAACCACTGAATCAGCGCTGGGACAGAGAGTCTGTGTATGGGACTGAATGATTTTATCTGGGTTGAATTCAATTCTTTGTCTTCTGAAGTACTCTATAGCCTTAAATTTGTAACTTATAGAGTAGAAAATTGAAAAGAAACTTTAGAGGGGAAAAGTAAGTATTGAACTGATCACTAGCAATGTACATTGTGGGATCATGGAGATTCCACTCACTAAGAAAAGCAGCTCTGTTAAGAAACCTGCTTTTGTTGAAGTGGCCTTTCATTGTTCAGAAGCTTCCATAAAAGGAAGGCCCATCGAGGAATTCTCATTTCTAAAAAGATAGGACAATAATAAATGGAAGGCCATTCCCAGTTAAGGCACCTCCAACATCACAAGTTGTAGGTAAGGAATGCAACAAGGATGTAGTTACACAGGCTGTTCTGTTGCTAGAAGCACTGAAACAGAAATAGAGACTGGGAGTGGCTAAGTCATTATGCAAGGTAACCTATTTCCCCTTGTTTTTTCCTAACCCCCGCCCACCCGCCAGACGTTCTTGTTAAACCCTGGATTTGTGCTGGAAATGGCCCACCTTGATTATCATACACATTGTAAGGAGAGTGGTCACTTTAGATAAGCTATTACCAGCAGGAGAGTGGGTTTGTGTGTGTGTTGGGGGGGAGGGGCGTGAGAAAACCTGGATTTGTGCTGCAAATGGCCCAACTTGATTATCATACACATTGTAAGGAGAGTGGGGGGAGGTATTTTTGGGGTGGAAGGAGGTATTTTTTCATGCTTTGTGTGTATAAAAGATCTTCTACACTTTCCACAGTATGCATCCGATGAAGTGAGCTGTAGCTCACGAAAGCTTATGCTCAAATAAATTGGTTAGTCTCTAAGGTGCCAGAAGTACTCCTTTTCTTTTTGTGAAACAGAAATGCAGCTTTTCTTGGGTGGATTCCCTTTCCTTTATTTCCACGAACACAGTAGGTCTCAGATTAAGGCATTTGGAAAATTGGTCAAAATAACGACTGGGTGTCAACAAGCAGAGGCAACAGGGGTTTGGGCAAGGGCGCTGTTCTCCCTGGGAAATTTTTACATAAAAAAATAAAATTAAAGCACTTTTCAAGGCCAGTAAGCATGACCTTATATTTACAGATTGGAAAAGTGAGGCACAGAGATGAAGTGATCTGCATATTACTCACCCAGGGATCCAGCTGCAGAGCTGGAAACAGAACCCATATCTCCCACCACGTCCCTAACCTAGCCAGTAGCATTAAAACAATTTTTATAGGGGGGATGCTGAAAGCCATTGAACAAAACTATAAACCCTGTATGTGATGGAAACAATTTCAAGCCAGAGAGTGCTGCAGCACCGCAGCACTCCTAATTCCAGCACCCCTGATCCAGCAGATCGAGGGATGTGATCGTTCCCCTCTATTCAACATTGGTGAGGCCTCATCTGCAGTACTGTGTCCAGTTTTGGGCACCACGCTCCAAGAAGGATGTGAAAAAATTGGAAAGCGTCCAGCAGAGGGCAACAAAAATGATTAGGGGACTGGAACACATGACTTATGAGGAGAGGCTGAGGGAACTGGGATTGTTTAGTCTGCGGAAGAGAAGAATGAGGGGGGATTTGATAGCTGCTTTCAACTACCTGAAAGGGGGTTCCAAAGAGGATGGCTCTAGACTGTTCTCAATGGTAGCAGATGACAGAACGAGGAGTGATGGTCTCAAGTTGCAGTGGGGGAGGTTTAGGTTGGATATTAGGAAAAACTTTTTCACTAGGAGGGTGGTGAAGCACTGGAATGCGTTACCTAGGGAGGTGGTGGAATCTCCTTCCTTAGAGGTTTTTAAGGTCAGGCTTGACAAAGCCCTGGCTGGGATGATTTAGTTGGGGATTGGTCCTGCTCTGAGTAGGGGGTTGGCTTAGATGACCCCCTGAGGTCCCTTCCTGATATTCTATGATCCCACCCCAGGAATCCCTATTTCGGGCTGAGGCCCCATATGGCGGGCAGTGGGGGGGGGGGGAGGGGATTTACACGCTCCCCTCGGACAGCGCAGCCCGACGCTGAGCGCTGTTAGCTGCTGACACAAGCGGCTCTCTAGCCCTTTGTACCGCTGCGGGCAGGGCAGACAGCCAGCTCCAACAGCCCCGCTCCCCCGGCGGAGCCTAACCGCAAATACAGTGGCGCACACGCTCCGAAGCACGCCGCTGACAGGCCAAGGGGCCGCTCCACGCCAGCCCAGTAGCGAGCAGACGGAGCACAGAAGGGACCACACATCCCAGCAGCCCCAGCGCCAGTTTGCCTAGTCCACTAAACCCAAGCGCTACAGTGCATGCTGGGAAGCGTAGTCCTCCTGGGCCGTGACGCCGTCCCTGGAGTGCGCAGCCTATCCAGCCTGCGCGCACACGACGCCCCCACCCCTCTCCCGAGCCTAGGCCAGACGCCCGGGGGGTACCTCCGTGCGGGCAGCTCCAGCAGCTGGGCGCTGCGGCAGCTGAGACCAGCATGGAACGTTTCATTGTCTCCCGCAGGATTCCATTGGAACCTCTAGCTACCGCGGCGGCCATTCTGTCCTCGGAACGTACCACCTGCGCTCAGAGGCGGGGCGGGGCGGCGAAAGAGGCCACCCGTAAATGGAATTCACCCCGCCCTTCCCCCCGCCTCCCTCGCTCGTGCTGGTGTCCCTCCAGGGGCAGGGAGGTGCGCGACTCCTCGGTAGCTAAATAGCTAGGTCAGAGGAGCACTGTCTCTGTGGCTGTTCTCGTCTCCCCTCTCCGCCTCAGGGAGTGGTACATTCCGAGATGGCGGCCCCCATGCTCCAGCGAGCCGTGGTCTTCTGGGGCCGGGCTGGGGTGCGAGAGTGCCTCGCGCCGTGGCAGGTGGGTGACGGTCCAGAGCGCGTGGCCCGGGGCAGTCCGCAGGCTCCATCTGCCCTGGGGCTGGCTGGGGGGTGCGGGCTCCCGGGCGGAATCAGTCAGGCTGTCGGGCACCGCTTGGTCCCATCACCTCCTGCGTGCCCCTGGGATCGGGGCAGGTCCGAGCTCGCCGCCCGCGCACGGCTGCTGTATGCCCGGGCGTCAAAGGCCAGTGCAGGAGAGCTGGGATCTGCTTCTGGCTCCGTAGTGCACTTAGGAGATGACCAGACAGCAAGTGTGAAAAATGGGGACGGGGTGGGGGGTAATAGGAGCCTATATTAAAAAAAAACCCAAAATCGGGACTGTCCCTGTAAAATTGGGACATTTAGTCACCCTAAGTGCACTGCTGGGGTGACCTGTAAAATGGGGATAATCATGCCCCTCCCCGCCAATGTAAAGTGCTCTGGGAGCTCTGCGTGCAAAGGACGAGTCAGAGTTGAGTGTCCTCCTATGGCTCCTGCATCTGGCATAAGGGGGTTACTAAAGCCAGTGCCCGTGCTAGTCCACTCGGGGCTCCAAGCAGGAATATTTTTTGGGGTGGCCCACAACACATACTAATAATTAATAGGGAGCCTTTTTGAGCTGCTCAGGGCCTTAAGCAATTGTTGAGTCTGCTTCTGCCTAGCACCAACTCTGACTACAGTTGCGAATGTAGACCTACATTTATTGTGCATTCGCCACCATACTATCATCTGTCCAGTCACCTGCTTTTCAGGATAACATGAATTGGCACCCTGCTGTAATGCTGGGGCTCTAAAATCGGCAGGGATAAACGCTTACCAAAAATTATCCATCCAGCAACAAAAGTTAGAGAGGTAAGGTGAGTGAGATAGTATTACCTCATCCACCTTGTCTCTCTAATAGCTTGGGACCAATTTGGCTATAACACCACCACCTACGGCAGTGGTCACCAACCTGTCAATCATGATTGACTGGTTGATTATGATCTCCAGCAGCATAGTGACAGGTTTCAGAGTAACAGCCATGTTAGTCTGTATTCGCAAAAAGAAAAGGAGTACTTGTGGCACCTTAGAGACTAACCAATTTATTTGAGCATGAGCTTTCGTGAGCTACAGCTCACTTCATTGGATGCATACCGTGGAAACTGCAGCAGACTTTATATACACACAGAGAATATGAAACAATACCTCCTCCCACCCCACTGTCCTGCTGGTAATAGCTTATCTAAAGTGATCATCAGGTTGGGCCATTTCCAGCACAAATCCAGGTTTTCTCACCCTCCACCCCCCCACACAAATTCACTCTCCTGCTGGTGATAGCCCATCCAAAGTGACAACTCTTTACACAATGTGCATGATAATCAAGTTGGGCCATTTCCTGCACAAATCCAGGTTCTCTCACCCCCCTCCCAAAAACCACACACACAAACTCACTATCCTGCTGGTAATAGCTCATCCAAACTGACCACTCTCCAACTTGTGAGAGCTGTAGCTCACGAAAGCTCATGCTCAAATAAATTGGTTAGTCTCTAAGGTGCCAACAGCATAACGTGGCTGCCTCTAGGGCAGACTCCCTGTCTATCGGACCCATGCCGCTTCCGGAAGCAGCCAGTGACGCCCCAGGGGGCAGGCGTCTCCCTCTGTGCACCGCTCCTGCAGCTCCCATTGGCCAGGAGAACTAAGGGGCGGTGCTTGGAGAGAGGGGCAGCATACGGAGACACATTCTTCCTCCCTTCCCCCCCTTCCCGCAGGGGTGCATTGGCCCCATCTGGGAGCGGCTTAGGATCAGGGTAGGCAGGGAGCCTGCCTTAGCCTCACTGAGCTATTGGAGGTAAGTGCTGCCTGGTGGGAGGCTGCACCCCATCCCTGAGCCCCCTCCCAGAACCAGCACCCCATACCCCTCCTGCAACCCAAGCCCCACCCTGAGCCCCCTCTCAGAGCCATCATCCAAACCCCCTCCTGCACTTCAGCCCTGAGCCCCCTCCTGGAACCAGCACCCCAAACCCTCTCCTGGACCCCAAGCCCTGGTTCCCTTCCCAGAGGCAGCACCCTGTACTCCCTCCTGCGCCCCAACACTTTGGACCCTCCTCCCTGAGTCAGCACTGTGATGTTGCATTCCATATGTTTTATGGAAATATGCTTATGAATGTGAATATGATGTAACTGGAATATGCTTTATGCAAAAGGTCTCTTGTAAGCTATCATAACAAAGGTTATAAACTACTGAATATATTTTTCCTATTTCTATGCATGTATCATTCTTGTGTCTGAAGCTAGACATATGAAGTATAACTCTGAGGTCCTATTGTAATTATGCAAAGTGTGGGCCGTGAATGGTTGTTTAGGATCTTGATGGCTCCCATTGACTAGGACAACTGATTGTAAGTGGTTTATTTACATGCAAGCCTTCCTCTGTACTGTAGGCCAACCCAGGAAGAATGGAGACTAGGGGTTTTACAGTGACATGTGACCATGTCACATGATACTGGAATCCATCTTAATCCTTGTACTTTTCCATTGGTGAGGTGGGGGTGGGGACAAGCACAGACAAAAGATTCCTGCCTTGTGCCAAAGCTATAAAAAGGGGTGGAGCAGGCCACAAAGGCTCCCAGTCATGAGAAAACCCCTGTTTAACACCTGAGATGTCTGCTGGATCTAGCAAAGACTGTACAGGGGGGAAAGGATTTGGCCTAGACGAGGAAGGGGTCTAGTCTGTGGGAAAAAAAGCTTATTGGCTCATCTTTGAGCTTGAGATATTACCTGTAATCAGTTTCTTAATGTATTGGGCTTAGACTTGTGAGTTTGTTTTATTTTGCTTTTGTGACTTACTTTGTCCTGCCTATTATTACTTGAAACCACTTAAATCCTACTTTTTATACTTAATAAAATCACTTTTATTTATTAATAAACCCACAGTAAGTGATTAATGCCTGGGGGAGCAAACAGCTGTGCATCTCTATCAGTGATACAAAGGGCGAACAATTTACAAATTTACCCGGTATAAGCCTTATACGGTAAAAAGGATAACCCCTGAATCCCTCCGCCGACCCTCTCCCGAAAGGGTTAGAGCAAAGTACCTCGACCCGACCAAAATGACCAAGAGGAGACAAGTCTTCAAAAGGGGAGGAGGGAGAGGAACAGAGGGTCTGTGTCTGTCTGTGTGCTGCTCTTTGCCAGGGACAGACCAGGAATGGAGTCTTAGAACTTTTAGTAAGTAATCTAGCTAGGTATGTGTTAGATTATGATTTCTTTAAATGGCTGAGAAAAGCATTGTGCTGAATAGAATAACTATTTCTGTCTGTGTTCTTTTTGTAACTTGCTTTTGCCTAGAGGGGTTCTCTATGTTTTTGAATCTAATTACCCTGTAAGATATCTACCATCCTGATTTTACAGGGGGATTTCTTTATTTCTATTTACTTCTATTTTTTATTAAAAGTCTTCTTGTAAAAAACTGACTGCTTTTTCATTGTTCTTAGATCCAAGGGTTTGGGTCTGTGGTCACCTATGCAAATTGGTGAGGCTTTTTATCCAACATTTCCCAGGAAAGGGGGGTGCAAGTGTTGGGAGGTTGTTCTTGTTCTAAGATCCAAGGGTCGGGTCTGTAGTCACCTAGGCAAATTGGTGGGCTTTTTCCAAACCTTGTCCAGGAAGTGGGGTGCAAGGTTTTGGGAAGTATTTTGGGGGACAGCGCTCCAAACGCTCTTCCCCAGTAACCAGTAATTGTCTGGTGGTGGTGCCCATTCCAAGGATAACGGGTGTAATTTTTGTACCTTGGGGAAGTTTTGACCTAAGCTGGTAAAGATAAGCTTAGGAGGTTTTTTCAGCAGGTCCCCACATCTGTACCCTAGAGTTCAGAGTGGGGGAGGAATGACATGGTGGCACAGTGGTGGGATTAACCGAAATCTTTGAGATCCAGTTGAGATTTTTTGAACTAGAAATACAGATTTTAAAAGGAAATTTTTTTTCTTTGGAAAGAAAGTCCAGAAAGCGCTTTGAAACGGAAAGCGCTTGGTTTCTCTCTGCTTTGTGGCCAAGCAGAGACAAAAGGGGATTTCTTGTGAATTGCAGGTTTTCTTGCCTGGAGGCAGGGTCTTAACTCCTGCAGGGAAATTCACCAACCCAGAGGTTTTTTTTTCTTTTCTTCCTAAAAGTAAATAGGAGGGTGTGTTCTACCCATTTGCTTTTTCTTTGGGCTGGGTAAGCAGGTTTCCAAGCAGTTGGAGGTTTTTGCTTTAATTTGGGCCCAGAGCAGAGACAAGGGAATTGTCTTTTCGTAGGCGACAATCACTATCAGAGAATAGGTATTCTATTGCAGCACAGCAAAATTTTACGCCAAGGTTTGTTTATTTCTAAACCTCGGGTGTAAAGTTAGTTAAAAACAGAGAGGTTAGAAGACCAAACCCGCTCGACACGCGGAATTACCAATTTCAGGCGAGGAAAGACAAAGGGAACAGAAAGACAGATAGAACCGGCGAAGAAGGAACAAGAAAGGGGGCGCGAGAGAACGAACCCCCCCTGCTGGAGAGCTAGGAAGCAAGGGACAAAGAACGGAGGAGAAGGAAAAAGAGAGGAAGATGGGAGGAGAGGAGAAGATAAAGGCCCAGCAGAATATACCAACAAACCCTAGCAATCCTTCTCCAGGTACCACTTCCCATCCCAGAAGTTCCCCACCACAAGGCTGTACTGGCCTTCCTAAAAACTTCGAAGGGCCCTGGTACAACATCTCTACGACCAATACATGGTAGGCGCCCTCAGTGCCCTAGCTGAGGTGGCAGCTGAAATGCCAAAGAACACAGAACAAGTATGAACGTTTAAATCCAAGCAAGAGTCAGAATGGGGATAACACCCAGCGTCCGCATTCAGGCCCTAAGGGGAAACCAGACAGTCATTTACCCGACGCCTACCACATTGTGAAACATTGGGATGCCGGATATCAGGAGCAAGTGTTGAATCCCAAAATTTGCCCTTCCTAATGCAAATGGAACATTCTTAGAGGGTGTTCCG